ATACTATGATTTGGATCAGATATTGAAATTTGCCTGAAAGAATTTTATTACACTCTTTACAATATTTATGCCTTCGGTGCATTCACCTTCCTGTAGACCTAAGACAAAGAGTAACCCTATGTCTTTGGGAGGAGGTTTGGGTTCATAACAAGTAGTGTCCATTCCATAGACATTCCAGTCCTGCTCAGCTCATACAATTACTCCTATGATTTGGATCAGATATTGAAATTTGCCTGAAAGAATTTTATTACACTCTTTACAATATTTATGCCTTCGGTGCATTCACCTTCCTGTAGACCTAAGACAAAGAGTAACCCTATGTCTTTGGGAGGAGGTTTGGGTTCATAACAAGTAGTGTCCATTCCATAGACATTCCAGTCCTGCTCAGCTCATACAATTACTCCTAAGAAACCTGAACCTCTCTAAGGACAGGCAAGGAATTTGTGTTCATAAAATCTGCATCCAGTGAGGAGCCAGAAAGCATCCCATGTGAATCAGGGCCAATAATTTTGACCAAATGTTGAATAAAGAACACGCAAAACATATTTTCACCTGGACAGTGTACAGATACCCATAGATATGCTTTCTGAACATACTTGTAATAAACTAGACTGAGATTTTTTGGAAGCTGAAAGGGGACTCAGAAACCCAAATCTCTTTCCATTTCATTCCTTAGAAAATATCATCCTTCACCATCACGGTGAACATAAAAATACATTTGCAAATACCAAGAACTCATTCTGGACTGTTTGGTAATCAAAGTCAGCTTAAACCAGTTTGATTAAAAAAAAAAAAAACTCCCCCAAAAAAAAAGCTGTAAATGAAATTCCAGCAGCTTTATTTTTACTCTCCCTATACATCATTTGCCTTATCTCCCATTTGCTACTCTGCTCTGCAGTATGCTGTTCCAAATTAAACACCTTGCATACTGCACCTCTGGCACACAGATGCTTCACTTACAGCTGACAGGCACAAATCTGCTGAAAAGAGCTTCAGTTCTGAGCAAAGTTAGGGTAATATTCACATCTTCCAATTCACAGTGGTAACAGTTTCCCTGCTCACTGTTTGTCAGTGAAATAGAGGGAATAATGCTTGAATAATCTACATTTCCTCGACACAAAAATCCTACAGCAGTTCTCAGAGCAGCAGGAGAATGGGAGAGCACCACCCATGGAACACTTTCAGGAGTTAAATGTATTAGCACTTATATTTACTGCTTTAGCTTAAATTAAATATACAGCTGTACACTCTGCTCTGAAAGGCTTTCAGTCTTCCCTTATGGTTAAAATCAGTGGGTGTTTCTAATTCCAGTGAGGGTAGTGTAGCAGACTTTTGATTTGTGAAATAACCTGATTGACATTTACCAGAAGGAAAAGTCCTCTAACAATGCATCCCTGTCACGTGAATATCTTTGTAGACCAGTGATAATAAAGATGCTATTTCTTCGTTACCTGTGCATATATTCAGTTTATGCAACAGACTTGGAGAGGTTAAAAAAAAAGAGCCTGATGTTCAACAAATATGCACAATATTCCAGAAGGAACAAGTCCTTCCCAAGGGTGTTAATCCTTCGCTGTGTATGCAAATAATGGTATAGCACTCCTTGCTGATGACACTGAACTTATGGCTGTCGGTGTTTGATACTGTATTAACAGCTTTCATACTATTAATATACATCAGTTGTCACTAATACACTATGAACAAAGTAGTACAGTGGGTTGGGATTTGGTTTGGGAAGTGAAAGAATAAAAGAAATACTATACAGCCCTGAGTAATCACCAGTAAGGGGCAAATGCAAACGTAGGTACACATTAGGCCTCAAGGTTACTAATAAAGTCACAGCTCCTTAGTAAGTGCCATATATAGTGATATCTAAAAATATATACTCTGGATTAGGCAGCTGTGAAGTTTCTGCAAACTTTTCAATGAACTTACTTTGTAAATGGTAAGTGCATGTGCAATATAAGAAAAGCATTTGTACATGAATATTAACCAATATCCGTGGGGCTTCCTTTTGGTACACAGCAGTTCACATGTTTGGGGCTACTGCCTTCCCATCTATTGTCTGTCAGGCTAGCATGAACATACTCATTTTGTGCTGACACACTGTATGGTATCGATTAAGGTCCTGGGGTTTGGGGCCTTTTTGAATCGTTATTTGGCTTTGAAAATGATAATGAAGCTAAAATATATTTCTGAAAGTCTAGCTTTCTGTTCTCTTTTAGAGTCTTACTTTTGAATCTGTGCAAATGCATTCCTAATTCTTGTTTGTCTGTGTCATACTACATGCATACCATATTGCTTATCCAGTACTAGAAAAAATCATTAAACAGTTCTAAGGACAAAAGTACATTGAATGATACTTAGCAACATAAATTAGAATAACCGAAATAGTAAAATAATTAGATACAAAACAGCATAGTTGCCAACATATATTGGGGCTATTTCAGTACAACTTGCCATTTATATATGTAAAGCATACATAAATGGCTATTTTTTATCCTTTTCAACAAGACATTTTAAAAGGATAGTTAAGAGCATACCAGTTTACCTATTCATGTACAAAAGTACATTGGGAAAGGGAGAGGTTTACGTATCATTTACCAGAGCAGGATACTGTTAAAGGATAAATTCTCCCTCTAAGATGGTGGCAACTATTCT